TGCTTCATCAGCTTCTTTTGGGGGGTCCTAGGTGACAGGGGTCTTGGAGACCCCTGATGTCTCCATAAAGAGGACCTGTCACATATTTTGCTATCACATAGGGGGGTTTTATTAGCCCCCGTATGTGATAGCAATAAAGTTTAGTGAAGAAAAAAAAAGGAAAAAAAATTAAAGTTAAAAGAATAAAAAAATTAAAAAAAAAATTAAAAGAATGTTAAAAAATTTAAAAGTCCCCACCCATACATACACGCATGCAAACATGCGTCGGGGGCGCATACGTGCAAAAAAAAAACGATTGCGCCCATTACGCCGCACATGTTACATATCGCCACGAACGTCGGAGTGAGAGCAATAAGTCTAGGGCCATCAATCACTGATAACACTAAACTGATGAGCGGTAAAAGCTTTTAAAGCGTCGCCTAGGGCCAATTTTGGGTATGGTAGTTTTCTGCGATGTCGCTTGACATGTTTGGTGTCTATTTAACCGACGTGACCCCGACTTTTATATTTTACCAAAAAACTGGGTAATAATAAGTGTTTCCTAACATAATGCTAAAAAAAACTTTTTTTTTTTCAAAATTTTCAGTAATTTTTCCTAATTATAGTAAAAAATAAAACCTGTAGTTGTGATTAAATACCACCAAAAGAAAGCTCTATCTGTCTCCAAAAAATGGTATAAAATTAATTTCAGTACAGCGTTACATGATGGAATAAACGTCAGTCAAAGTATCGCAGCGCTGAATACTGAAAAATGGCCTGGCCTGGAAGGGGGTCTAAACACCTGGTCTTCAAGTGGTTAAACTGTGGTTTTGACTATATATACAATTTGTTTTACAAACAAACATTTAAACAATATCAAAAGATTTTCACAGCACTTTAGAAATATTTCATATTTACTTGACCAAAAAAATATTTTAGATAGTAAGCCCTCAGGGGCAGGGCCCTCCTTACCATCTTGCCTTGAATTGTATTGTGATTATAATGTCTTCCCTATATTGTAAAGCGCTGCGCAAACTGTTGGCGCTATATAAATCCTCTATAATAATATTCATACTAAGCCCAAAGACCTAGCATTCTGTACTGTATTCCAGACGAGCTCTGGATGTTTCTGTGCACTAAATTGCAGTGTGTTCTAACCTTGGATATGACACCTGTTCTGTCAGTTTTTTAGTTTTTTGTGTCCCGTTGGAAAGATTTTCTTCACTTTTGTCTTGCATACACAACAGAAAGTGAGAAGAAATCACTCAGAAATGGTTGTCGCAGAAACCAGTGTCCTTATTGGAAAATATTTCTCTATTCCTGTTCTAGTGACAACTCAAAATTCTGGATTTTCCCTTACTTTCTATCCTGATGGCAGCAGTCAACAGGAAAAATAGAGTGGGTGAATCTTCCTAACAGGGACAAAGAAAGCATCAAAAACCTGACCGGGGTTCTAACATTTCTCTTTTATAGCCGAAACAAACAAAAGTTTTGCCTTTTAGATATACTTGAACTTGTTTAACCAATATCTTGAGAACTGTTCCAAACCAAGCAGCCTGTTAACCTCCTGCCGTCCACCCGTTGAGAAAATGGACGGATGGCAGACTCGCATTTGCGGGTTACCGTCTCCAGATGGCATTTTTTTCCTGCACGGGCAGGAAAAACCCGTCTGTTCTGCACAGCCGTTCCGGCTGTTTCACATGCAACCGATCAGCGGCTCTATAGCCTCCGATCGGTTGTATGGGGTGATTTCTTCGCGCCCCCCTCGAGTGCTGCCGCCCCGCCCTCCTGACCCCTCACCTTCAATTCCGGGATCCGCTAGCCCATCTGCGGCCTGGGACTGGCTCGGGAGGGTATCAGGAGGAAGATGGGAGATCAGCATCTTCTTCCTTGCTGATCTCCTTCCGTACTGTGTAATACATCACTTCCGCATTCACCTGTCAGTCACCTGGCTGCTATAGCCAGAGAAAAGAAGGTGATGAAGCAGATCTCGGGTTCATCAGCTTCTTTTGCGGTCCCCAGGTGACATTAGAGGTCCTAGAGACCCCTAATGTCTCCATAAAGAGGACCTGTCAGTGTGCCTTTGCTATTATATAGGGGGATTGTTATGCCCCTATGTAATAGCAATAACAATAAGTGTAAAAAAAAATCTAAATTAAAAAAGTAAAAATAAATAAAAGTCACATATAAAAAACAAAACCCCAACATTTTTAAGTCCCCCACCCCCACGTTTACGCACATATAAACGTAAATATGCGTCAGAGCGCGAAAACGGCAATTGCGCTACACATGTTACATATCGCCACAAACGTCAGGAGTGAGAGCAATGTAGGGCCAACAATCACTGATAACACTAAACTGATGAGCGGTAACAGCTTTTAAAGCGTCGCCTATGGCCAATTTTGGGTAATGTAGTTTTTTGAGGTTTCGCGCATGCGCGCAATTTTAAGGCTTGACATGTTTGGTACCTTTTTACCCGACGTGACCCCGTCTCTTATATTTTACCAAAAAATTGGGTAATAAATGTTTTATCATTTAATATAGGGGAAACAGTTTTCTTTTTTAAATTCTGTAATTTTTCCTTACTATAGTAAAAAATAAAAACCCCAGTGGTGAATAAATACCACCAAAAGAAAGCTCTATCTGTCCCAAAAAAGGGTATAAAAGGTATTTCAGTGCAGCGTTGCATGACGGAATAAATGTCAGTCAAAGTACTGCAGCTCTGAATACTGAAAAATGGCCTGGACAGGAAGTGGGTTTAACACCGCGGACTTCAAGTGGTTAATGTTGGCTACTTATTATTTTTATTATTATTAGTATTTCAAAGGAGATCTAAAGTTTTTTTTTTTGTTTTAATTATTTTTATTTCATGTTAGCAGCAATAATGCGTATCTGTTTGTGTCTTTTTTTCTTTTCTTCCAGGTGGAAGATCTTAAGTGGGAATTGGAACAGAAGGAGCATGAGATTCAGTCATTGAAGCAGCAACTAGACATGACTGAGCAACGCAGCCATAGAGAGTTGGAAAATTTCCAGACCTTGCTTCAGGTAATCTATGCATCTTTTTCTTCACTGACATATTCCAACGAGACATTTTATCTGCATTTACTACATTATACTCTGTAAACTTATTAAATGAGTCGTCACTATCAAACTTTAATATTGCGTTTTCGGTACAGTCTCACATTTGAAAGCTTACCCACTAGAAGATGTGGTGCACATTTTCACTTTTATACATTCAACCAGCACACATTTGCAGAAGTGCCTAAAAAGCTACCTTTATTTACACGGATGCAAAGTCACCCAAAGGGAATCTGTTATGAGAGACTAATGGAGGCTACCATCACCGACCTCTCTGTTTCAAAATGCTACCTGACTCTAATCCTGATACTTTGGCTTAAATGTTCTCTAAGTCACTGCCCCAGAACAAGTATAAAGATAAGTAGTTCTGGCACGTGTTTGCTTCTCATTTACAGACTCATTTTAAATAGAGTCAACTTTGTTACTGGAATACATGTGACTGAAAGAGAATTACATTTAGCTCTCTGTGCTGCAACCCATTTTGTTTTTGCTTTCAAACACAGTCATAGTACTCTCTAAACTTAGTCATAGGACATAATCATTACATTATTGCTATTTGTATGACGGAGGCCTTTACAGACAGTTCTATACCTTGCAATCTATACAGTTGCTCTTATTAAGCAGGGGGCCTGACTTCAAACTGTAGATTTCCTATTGCTAAATACTTAGGATGCAGGTGATGGCTCGACTTTAACCTGCAGTAAACATTTCACATAAAATATGTTTGTGCATGGTCACATGAAAATGGCAGAGTGGGTGTATATCATGGATCATTTTTAAACTGGGAATTGTTGATTTTATAGTTGGATGTTTATTTTGAACTTTGTTTTTTTTACCTGCTGTTTGTGTCCTTAGAATCTAAAGTCTGAACTTGAAGTTGTTCGTGAGGATCTCACTATTACCCAGAAGGATAAATTCATGCTACAGGCAAAGGTGACTGAGCTGAAGAATGGCATGAAAATCTTGCTGCAGCAGAACCAGCAGCTGAAGCTAGATCTTAGACAAGGTCGTCTAAAGAAGGTGCTTATCGAAGTGTCATTAAAGTAAAGATATTTTACTCAAATGAAATAAAGAGAAATGCTGAATATGATGTTTTAATGCTGCTTCTGTATTTAGACCTGCTTACATAGTCGCAAGTATAGTTCTAAACAGCATCTGTCACTCCTTTTATTCTGAATACCCGCTTTGAACAATAAGGCTTGCAGTTTTGTTTTTTTTTTAATGTATAATGTCAGTGTGCACACAGCCTTCATAATAATAATATGTATTCACAACTACCCAGACTACACAACTACCCAATTTGACCCAGTTGTCTTTATTGCAGCAGCTTTCACGTAATTTATAAATTCACCATTTAATATTATATTATTTAATAAAGCATTTACACTTAGTATCACTCATTTAGCGCAGGAATAAAAATACAAACTTCATATTAATAATGTGTGCAACTTTGATGTTTGACTTCCCACTACTGCAGATTGCATTAAAAAGCAAGCTAGTCTTTGTCAGTGCTTGCATCCTTATAACACATCGTGAATCTGTTTAATTCATTTTGATAATTTTGCTGATTTTATGTGTCTCATACTAAGTGTGGTTTGATATTTCAAATTGTATTTTTGTTATTTTAAACAGCGGAAAGAATTGAAAGGAGATGTAACAGCATCCAATCCAGTAACTCCAGTTAAGATACCAGACTGCCCAGTACCAGCTTCACTACTAGAGGAGCTCCTGAAACCTACTTCTATTAGCAACGAGCCTTTGAAAAACCTCAACAGCTGTCTTCAACAATTAAAGTAATAACTTTGCAACAATGCATATTTTTTTTTTTCTTTTAAATAGTTTTAATCCGATATAGGCTAAAAAGTCTGTCTACTGTCAGGCCTTTAAGTCTAAGAATTACAGATACGAAGGTAACTAAACTATCACAGGAGATAGTAAGTGTAAGTAATGTTATGTTGTTAAAGGGCCAGTAAATCCAAAATAGATATTTCAGCTTTTGGTAAATTGTGGAGCATCTCAGGGATGCTCTTGATTTAGCTTTGTCCATTTGAGCTCCAAGCTGCTCTGGCTTCTATGAGCAGGTATCTTTCTCCCTGATTTTTGTTTCAATCAATAATAAAGAAGGCTGCACTGGAAACTGGGATCATACAGAGGTGGGCAGGGACATGCAACACTCTTAACATGGGTGGTAACAGAGCCAGGAATTGTGCCATGGAGGTGTGGCCACTGGAGTACCCAGGAAATGCAAGAAACCAGAAGGTGACTCACTGTACCAGATACCACCTAAAGCTAAAACTTTAACTGTGGGATGGACCGACCCTTTAAATTCAATGTTTGACAAAAATATTTAGCCTGTTTTAATATTGTTAAGTCATACTTGATAAAGGTATGCTATTTTCAAACAATGATTTGTTATTAATTTCAGAGTTTCTTACAGCAAACAAAGATCGATAATATATTGCACTTTCACTGCAGTTACATTTACTCATGTAAACGCCCTGCCAGTCTTATACTTACCTGCCCCCGATCTGCTTAGATCTCCGCTGTGCCGTCCCCTGGGCGACACACAGCCAGAATTTTCTCTGCCGGGGCCGCCGCAAAAGTGCACTGCGGTGTATATTCAATCCTAGGGAGAGCTCATACTCCCTATCTTGAGGAAATGTGTGTACAAATAAGTGTAACCGCACAGAAAGTGCAATTGCACTCTAACTAGGGTGATACAATAATATTTATTATACACTGTACAACTATACATGCATGTCTTCTGTTAACATGAACACTTGTATTTTCAGGCAGGAAATGGACAGCCTCCAGCGTCAGATGGAAGAACACACTATAACTGTACATGAATCAATGACATCTTGGAACCACATTGAAGGACAACTACAGGATTTGGCAGAACCTGTCAGGTTGCCTCTGACTAGTTCTAGTCCCCCCCAGAATGATGAGAACTTCAATAACAGTGAGCCAGAAAGAACTGAGCAATGGCTCTGAACTCTTCTGTTATTTTACAGCTGCTTTCTAATTCTGGAGGGTAGGAACTTTTATGTGTGCCTGCCTATGCCAGAAATGTATGCACACCAAAAAGCACAGTGTAAGAGTGACTCTCTTCCACACAAATTATTTATTGTATATAATATATATATATTCTGAAGAGAACCAAGACACTTGGACTTTACAAGAGAAGATGAAAGATGCCTGTTGGAAAATACACACATATATGTGCCTATAGAAACACTCTGCTTTTGTGCAGGAGTCCTTCCTATAACAGTCCGTAAGGAAGAATACAGTTAGCATCTTGCATTACCTTCAGAATTGTCAAAGGCCTGTTCTCCTGAAATGAGTGCATCTGTGGGTCATCTCAGGAACTCTCCTAACACAATTCACACAAAGTGGAGGAGGTTATTACCAGATGAACAAACATGTTTTACATGCTTCTCTACTCACATTAGCTGTCCATTCAGCTAAATGATCGTCCTAATTTGTTCCATTAAATGCAGTGTGAATATACATAACCATATAACTTGTGAATCAATCTTAAAAGGGACTTAAAGCCTTTTTTTGTGAGAAGCACACCCTAATGGAACACTTATCTCCCTATAACATCTATACTTTGGGGTTTTTTTTTAAAGGCGTTTTCTGCATTAGTGTGCCAGTGGCAGGGTTTTGCCTAGTTTAAACCATATGTGCTTGATACTTTTGTGCAATAATACAGATCAGTATTCTGTAGAACAACACACAAAAAGAAGCAGGACCATCATCCCGCTTGGTATATTGCTTGGCAGACTGAAACCTAGCTATTCATACAGCAGGATTATTTTGGTAAAGTTGCAGAACTAAAGTTCTTTGTCCTGATAATGAGGGAATACTGGGTAGGGGGGATGTCTACTTTGGATGGGTTAGAAGTTAATGGGGAGTATCACTTTAATTGGACATCCACTTTAAACTGATCAGTGTGGCCCCTATGGGTTAGGAATGCTATACTATTTATTTATAGGTATTTGTTGTTATATCTGCTTTTCCCATCTATGTACCTTTTATACACCATTCTGTGCATATGTGTTGTCTTGCATACTGAAGTAGATTTGTACAAACTTTTTTGTCTTTCAAAAATGCTAAAGCTGACATTGATCATTTCGATTTGAATGCATACTTTAAGTTACATGATGTTTCCTACTACTTTTGGATGTAAATGGATAATAATTTGTATATGTTTAGGTTGATTTTGTTCGATTGAACAATATTGGTTTTGAAAATAATTTATATCAAAATGTTTTTGTTTTTGTTTTTTAATATTCTGTTCCCACTGCACCTTTTACTTTTCAAAGGAATGTCCCTTAATGTTTGCCATATGGGTAAATATCTTGGTATTTATAGTTTTGCTGCCTGCAGGATTCCATCGTAATGGCATGACAACTAGACACCCCTGCCTCCCTTTCACTGTTTGTTCTGACTCAGATTTGCAGGCATGTGCATTTTGGTTGTCAGAAATGTTTTCTTCCTAGGTTAGTCTTTGCAGAAAGAAAGATGTTCTATAGCTGACACATGTAGTGTGGTTATATTTTCTTTACTAAAGATAAAGATATCTTCCCTTTTGCTGCATCGATACCCATTAATCAAATATTTCACATTTGAGTTAGAAATGTACAGTGCTTATATGATTTACATTTATTAATTTATATTCCATTCAAATTTAGCAATGCAAAAACAATTCCAACAATGTGCAGCCAGTGCTGTCAAATGGTGTTAAGACTGCAATGTTGGTTCTATAAAGTTGCACTTAAAGTCTAAACTGAAAACCATTAAAAAAATCCTAATTTTAAAAATATGCTTTACCTGATTTATCCAATATTATAAGGAAAACTGCTGAGGGCAATATGTTGGATGTCATTGCAGACCCTTCTGAAAATGCTAGTTGTCTGGCCAGCTTCAGACTATTTATTCACTGACCCAAAGCAAGTGTGCAGCATGTGAAGTCTCAAATCTTGGTCTCAATGATTGTTCTGTCAGCGAGCCAGAAAATATAGAAACCATTAGATCAGCATAAAGGCCAGGCAGCTAGCATTTATATAGAGCTTGAGGACAGCCTACACATCTCATTTTGTTCCTTGTTTCCTGTTATTCTATTTCATATTAGTTTTACTCGTATGTCACATCTATTAAGTAGTCTTGAACATAAGCAGAAGAAGAAATAACAAATTGTAGGTGCATTGATCTAGTGGACTAGTAAATCCGCCATCTGCTAGTTCACCAAAGCCGTAAGCTCTGAAAACCGCATAGTAACCTGAAGTGGATTATTATTACTTTTAAAAAAAGTTATAATGTTGGTCAGCACAATATTATAAGGAAAGTACAGTGACTCACTAGAATACATCAATATAAATATCTACCTTTTACGTTTTATATGTAGGAGCAAAAGTCTTTTCATTACCCATCAGTGGACTGACTTTATAAATGTGTTTGGGGTAGGAGCTTTCTGTATTATCCCACAGCAGCCAGATTCAGATGTTACTAAATGTCACAT